GAAGGCGAACTTGGCGGACATTTTGGGGAAGAAGAAGAAGGTGAAGACGCCTATCGAGGATGCGATTGAGCTGCGGGACGAGAAGGCTCGGGAGGAGGAATGTCGGGAGGGTTTGCGTCGTTTTGGCTAGAGGTAGCTTAGTAGTTATCATGCATCTCGAGAGAGAGCCCGTTTGTCGTTGTTTTTGGTGGAGCAAAAAGTTGTGCATATGTGCATAATTTTGATGTTAGTTATGCACGATGATATGCAGCTAACGTGGTCGGGTGCATAAAGTAAAGGCCGGTGTCGCTGCGAAATCGACGACTCGGTTGAATTCCGGCGCCCAAACCAGCAGTCCGGCCGCGCGCATTAAGACAAGCCCATATCGCTGCATCGAACAGCTTCCCATCCTCTTGATTCATTGTTTGACGTTAAAGGGCAGAAGCCAGGATCTCTTGTTCATTGTTTCCACCGGCGCTTTTATTTATTTTATTTTCTATTCGAGATATTCACAAGTGAGTTTGCTCCCCCCCTCTTTTCCACGACATAACTCGGCTTCCGGTCCATCCCGAATTTTGCACGCGAAACAGCAAACGCCGAAAAAAGGATCCAACATCAGAACTCCAACGAAGACTGACCGCGAGAGAAAAAAGAACAGAAAGCCATGGCCCCAACGAGCAGCATCTTGCGCGCCGCCCGGCCCGTCTTCCGCCAGGGCGCGGCCACGGGCTCCTTCTTCAGCAGCCAGACGCAGCAGCAGTTCTTCCGCCAGCAGTTCCGCCAGCAGGCTGGCAAGCGGTGGCAGAGCACGGCGTCGGAGCAGCAGCAGAGCGCGAGCTGGTTCAAGAGGGCGTGGGAGAGCGAGGTCGGCATCAAGACGGTGCACTTTTGGGCTCCCGTCATGAAGGTAAGCGTCACACTCTCCGTCCTAGATGGGGCAGTGGAATTATAGGAGGTTATTGAGCAGTGACTGACTCTTGGGGAATTTACAGTGGGCTCTTGTCTTGGCTGGCATTTCGGATCTCGCTCGTCCTGCCGAGAAGCTGTCCTTTGCGCAAAACTTTTCGCTGACCTGCACGGGCATCATCTGGACGCGGTGGTGCTTCGTCATTACCCCCAAGAACTACCTGTAAGTTCTCCCCCCTTTCTTCTTTGCGTAACCACACACACACACACACACATGCACAACGCGCAAAACTCCGATCAACTTTCGCCGAAACAAGACACACACTCCCTATGTTGGGAATGGAATGTGGAATGAAAAAGAGAAAACTGACGTGGGGGATTTCTTTCTAGGCTGGCTGCTGTCAACTTCTTCCTCGCGCTGGTCGGAATCACGCAGATTACTCGTATTGGCATGCACAACATGTCGAAGAAGAAGGAGGAGGAGGAGGCTGCCATTGTCAAGGCTTAGAGAGTTGTGTGAGCAGAATCCAAAGGGATTCTGAAGAATGGGGAGGAGATTGGAAGGAGGAGGGGGGCAGCAGAGGGAGACGCATGATATACCTAATACATCATTTCGCAACATATATCATGGGATCAGCTTGATGAGACACAAAATCTATGATACTACCATCAAGCAACGACCGAAAACAAAAAGGCGGGAGACCAAAAGCCCCGGGGAAAGCAGGAGGGGGGGTGGGCAGATAGGGAGGCATTCGGTTATTGTTTAGAGGAAAGGGGATTCTTCACTGCGTCTCTTTCACGGGTTGGCAACTTCGACAACTGAGAGGAAAAACTCACAGGTTTGATGATGCGTGTTTTTACGCCTTTTGTTCTGATTCCATATCGGATTGGTTTGTGTAGGCGTCCTTAGACGTAATGCTACACCTTTGCTTCTACCCTTATCCAACAGCAAAGTTTCCACTGCCGGTAAAAAACCCTCCTCATCAGGATGAAATAAGTGGTTGTCCTGATCTCCAGGTGCTCTAGCGAACATGCAAGTCCAGAAAAAGGGAAACAATCCACGGCAAAACATCACAATCATGCCACGTAGTAAGCAAAACGCATGGTAAAAATGCCCCGTTCTCTTCAATAATGTATCGTGGTATAAGGCACATTGCACAACAGTACTATTACTTTAAACAGACAGATCTTCTAGACAACATAAAGGAATTTGTCATTCAAAAAGCCTTGTTCTTGCCCCGTGAACATGCCTCTCCCCACACACAAAAATGTAAAAAGACAATCTGCCCACAGCGCCATGCAAGAAAAAGGGGGGGGGGGAGAGAACGAAGATGGGAGGTATCATGAATCTACTGCTCAAATGATTCGCGGAGCAACAAATATGAAACGAGAAAGGAAAAGAATAGAAGAGAAATCAGAAAAGAAACGAGGAAAATGTGTGCAGAAAAAGAAGAAGAAAAAAGAGCGTCCAACCAAACATTTCACCGTCAGGACCCCATCATCCGCATCTAGTGACTCGATTAGTCTGTATGCCCGTCGTTGAGAAGCATCTCCAGTATGATCTGTCTTCCTGGCAACTCTGGGTGTGACATGGCAATCTTGACAGTCCCCTTAGAAATGTCACCTGCTGTCGACAGTCCACCATTGTGTCCATACACCTGTGCGGCCTGGGCCGCGTTGTCTCCCGTCGGTCCTCGAACCCCAAAGTCTATGATCCGCACGTCCCGTCCAGCAATGATCTGTCGAAGTCGCCCGTTGTCGGCATTCCGGACTTCGACATAGTCCTCGTTATACAGGATGAGGTACTGTCCGTACATGGTCGCTCCCTTGGCCTTCTTCTGCTTGCCCGTGTATTCCATGATGAGAGTCCTGCTGACCTCGCCATGCTTGTCGACGTACACGGCGCAGTCTTCG